GGTACTAGCCTGGGGTGAGTGCCCACCCCCAGCAGCCCAGGGGGTGACGCCTTCCCCTCTCCTCCAGTTGGAATGGAGCCTGGTGTCCAGACTTGGTCTTCAGGACACAGGTTCTGGAGGGAGGTAGAGTAACATCCATTTCAGCACAAAGCTTTTGCCGTGTATTCTCCTCTGTGGCTTGGCATGCATTCGCCAGCTGTCCTCAAATACAAACTTTCCACCCCTGTGGGCTAGCCTCTGGACCCTTCTCCTCCAGCCTGTCCTCTCTCTGAAATTGGAACCGCCTCCCTCCAGCTTCAAGGACCACATCCAAATGAACACTTCCAATTCAGAATTCCCCAACGACACAGACACCCAGGATGATTTAGACGTGTCTACATGAGAGGGCATTCATGAACACTGTTGGTAACCTATTGGATGGGGAGGCCCTTCCATCTGCAGCTGAGAGCATCCCTGGGTGGCCAAGAGACTATGGAGCCCACCTCAGGCTTTAGTGAGGAGTCTGGTGGCTACCTAGGGCATCTGAAAATGTCACCATAGGGCAGGCGTAATGGGATGTGTGCAGCTTGGTTGGGCCGGGGAGAAATGCGAAGAAAAGAAGGGGTGCCAATGGGGAGTGAAGGCCCTAAAATGTAAGAGCTGGATGAAGCTTCAGAGCTCATCTACTCAAAGCCCCTCATTTTACAGATGGGAAACTGAAGCATTGAGAGAGATCGTAACTCCGCCTTGGTCACGTGGCAAGATGGGGACAAAGCCAGGGCCAGAGCCATGCCTCCAAGAGCCTCAGCCTTGTGCTTTTTCCTCCTGTAGTATGCTGCCTTCTGAAATTAAATATAGAGCCCAGGAAGACATATCTTTCATATTGAATCTGTCATTAAAATGCTGCGTTTATAAAAAATAACATTTGAACCCTGAAAAATACTTCGTTAGAACACAACAAGCTCCTTTGAAAATGCTCCAGAGCAAAATTTCCCAGGTTTGGGGAGGATGGTAGAGGGATGTCTGTGGGAGGCAACATGTCAAACCCTTCTCAGAGTAGGTGCTGCTTAGGGTCCAGGTCACCAGCAGCCCCCTCAGACGACCTTGGGTCAAGTCCACGGTTGCCTGTGGATGGAATCTGAGGATGGAAGGCTGGTGGCAGACAAAGTATCTCTGAAGAAAAATGGATCATTTGGCGGCAGGGTGGTTGGAATGGATCTTTCTCCGTGCCTGGAGAGTCATGAGGCTCTCCCGTCTTTTGAGACAAAGGGGGAATCTGTGACACACACCAGCAGTTGGGCATAAGCAAGGTGGCACAGTGGCCGAGAGCCATCACGGATGTGAATCTTTGGCCAGAGCAGGAGCCTTTGGGCTCATGGCAGGCTGGGCAGGAGCTTCAGGGGACTTGCCAGCTGTAGGAAGCAAAGCCGACCTTCCAACCGTGATGTCTCTGACAGGCCAGTTCTCTCCCTAACCTCCCAAAGATCAGAGGAGTAGTGCTCTTGACTGCATGGCCCGGAGCATCATCTTGTAGGAACAGGAGAAGTCAAGGATAAGCCAAGGAGGCAAGCAGAAGTCTTGGAGTACATCTTCTTTGCTTGTTTTCACTGAGGGCTCTAAGTTTTAGAACTAACTACAAATTAGGGATGGAGGAAGGTACGTAGGGGACGAGGGCAGAGCCAGGGAGATGAGAGGAAGGAAAGACTGGAGCGGCATAGAAGACCGAGGTTAAAGTAGGAGCTTCTGGGTGTGAGAGTGGAAAGGGGGAGGAGAAGTTTGAGGTAAGGGAATGTCTGGAAATTTCTAGAAGGCAGACCCATCACCCAAGATGCTGGGGAGCCCTGAGGGTGGAACGCCAGTTAGGGGGATAAAGGAATTCTTGGGAAAGCCTTGGTGACTTACGAACTTATGGAGCCAAGAGTTAACTGGAAGAAGCGAGAAAGGGAGGGTTGTAGGGATTGGGAGAGCCTCACTGCCATCAAAAATCAAGGAGACCCGTGAGATCCTTCAGGTCAGGAGAGGACCTGTGTGGAGCCCTGTCCATTCCCACAAAGGAGACGCCCACAAAGAACCAAACAAGCAGAGGGAAGTTTGGGGCTTTGGGCTGCCCTTTTGGGGAAAGGAGAGCTTTCATTGGGGGGATGGGATGGCCTTCCTATGTGTGCTAGTGGCCACCAGCCTGGAGGGGCTGGGAGTCCTGATGTCTGGGTTCCCGCCCAGAGCCTTCTCTTCTCTGCGATGTGAACTCATCCGGTCATGTGGCTTTGCTTGTTCTCCCAATATGGGTGGGACAATGGAATAAAGGACATATTTCTGTATCCCAGTTGAAACATAATTTTATGGATTTTGAAATGAAGGACTGAATTAGAGCAAGTCTGTAGACTTCAATTTTTTCCTTCCTTCCTTCCTTCCTTCCTTCCTTCCTTCCTTCCTTCCTTCCTTCCTTCCTTCCTTCCCCAAGGATGAAGCAGAAGAATCATTTAACCTAAGTAAGCATTTTAGCATTAGGTAGAATTTTCTGATCTGACTGACACCAGAGGTTTTAAACCGGACAGCAATAAGGCTGAAATGAGAAATGCTTTGGAATCAACCTATCAGACAGCCCCTGAGACAGACAGACAGACAGACAGGGCAGGAGAGAAGCATCATCCTGACGCCTGGGGAACTTGGTGCCGAGAAGATGCTTCCAACTCGGGATGAGATCAGGTTTCTGGTTTGGGGTGTATGTGTGTGCAGACACCTGGGGAGGGGATTTTCACACTTTCCCCTCTGTACCAGCAGGCAACCTTTGAGGGGAGGCTAGATTAGAGGGCAGTGGGTTTGGGGGGGAACCAGCTGTGAGAGACACACCTTTGTTTCTGGGAGTGGCCAACTGCTCTGTTTAGATTGGTTTCCTCCACCCCAACCCTCTTAGCCTTACCTTCTGGAACAAACTCTCATAAACCCTTGGGGACCAGCCCTTGAGAAGGTTTATGTGTTTGTAGGGGAGGAAAGCAGAGAGTGACCCCTGTCCTCACAGCTTCACAGTCCCAGTGATGCCATCCCAATGTGGAAGCTGAGAGCTGTGTTCATCACCCCCAGCCTTAACGCCCTCATGATGAGTCTTGAGGGGGAGACAAGAGCTTTGGAAATCTTGAAATAAGTAAGAGGACTCAGTCGATTGAGTTTTCTATGGATTGTAGACTTGGTGAGATTAAAAATTCCCAGGGCTGACACTGGGGCATTCCCTCTGCCTGGTCCCCTTGTTGAAGGACCATACATGTTGTATGCAGAACCGGGAGAACCTAAATCCCCAGTTTAAGGTCATTGCTTTTGGAATCGGAGTGTGGCGAGAGTCACATTTTCTTCGTGTCGTACCTTTACCCAACAGTCTGGGGCTGATTCCCCTAGCCCCAGCCCAAGGAAATGCCCTGACCCTGAGAATGGGGGATCCCCTTTTCTCCCCCCCAGGCTCTGGTCTTGGGGAGGTGGATGCTGCTTAGTTCACTGTTCACTCTCCAGGGGGCTGTTACACCCTGCCCACTGCCCAGGTTGGAGGCAGAGAAGGGGCTGAGTAGGGCTGGCAAGGGTGGTCCCCCAACAGAGCTGAAGGCTTGGATCTGCCTGGTGCCCGAGTGTCCCCCTGCAGGGGAGGGGTGGGGAGCTGCCCAGTTAACCCCCAGACCCATAGCCTGGAGTACCATTTTCTGTTTGCTAATGGGTCTCTGTTGCTTTGATCCAGAGGAGGCACTGGTCTAGGTAATGGAACTACAGGGGGAGGAGGCAGAGAGAGTGAGCACTGAACAGAGAAGGGGCCAAGCAGGTGGGCAGTGGTGGGGAGAGAGGGGTGGGCAAGGCGCAGAACCACCACCTTGGGTCCTCCTTGGCTGGGGGCTGAGCCACCCTCTCTAGAAGCCTCTGCCTCCGCCTGCCTGACCTGCACAGTGGGAGACAGGCAGAGCCTGGGGTGATGGGAATGGCAAGCCCCTGAGGCCCAGGGCATCACAGTGCCCCCCCCCCCCCCGCCCTCCACTATCTGGCCATGGGCAGAGGCCTCTGGGGAGCAGAGCAAAGGAGGGGAAGGCAGGCCTGAGTGTCGGGTCATAGTTCAGACCTAGAGGCCTGGAGGAAATGTGGAGATAGGTTGCCGGGGACGGCACCCCCAAAATCCCTGCACCCCATTGTGACTCTCCTCTGGGAGGACTGGAGCAAAGCCCCAGAGAGCTCAGGGGTCAAACAACTAGGGCTAGAGGAGGGGGCCCTGGGGGGCCTGCGGGGGGGGGCAGCGAGCTAGAACTAGGGGGGTTCCCAACATTGGGGAGGCAGCTGAAGAAGGGAAACCCCTCCCCATCTCCTGGGCCTTGGGGGAGGGGCACAGGGCAGGGGGTGCCCCGAGGGGGTGGACGAAGGAAGGGCCACTCAGTGGGGACCAGAGCGTTCCAGCAGGCAGAAGAGAACGTTATTGTGCTTATGGACACAGCAGCTCCCTGGCTCTGAGAGAGCGAGCAGGCAGTTTGTAGGCACTAGAAGATTTCTGTGACGCGGTTGTAGGTAAATGAACGAGACCAAGTAGCCTATTGGGTCAGCCCATTGACTGCACCTGCTGGCCGGTCCAAAGCCAGGCGGCTTCGGACCAAGGTCAGGCCAGGGTCTCTTGGCTGACAGAACCCAACGCTGAGCCCCCTGGAGGGGGGAGAGGGACATGGGGCTGAAAGGGAGTTAGTGGTGGTGGGCGTTGGGGGCGGGGGTGGGGTGGGACTGGGGCCTAGCCCCTCTCCTCACTCCCCTCGATGCTTCTTGGAAGAGTGAGGGACATCGCTCTAGATCCCAGTCTGAGTGTGCTGAGCCAGGCCACCGGGCTGTGCCTCCCCCCCCCCCCCCCCCCCCCCCCCCCGGGGGTATGGCTTTCAGGGCAGAGGCGGCCCACCCTCACCTCCTAAGGAGGGGACGAGCGAGGGGAGCCGCCCAGGGCCAGAGGCAGGCTCTGCGCCCCGCCCCGCCCCGCCCCCGCCCGACGGCCCCGCCCCGCCCCGCCCCGCCAGTCACACGGTCACTTCCGTCTTGCTGGCTGTGTAGCAGGTGTGGTGACCGGGGATATAGTGCAGCTGTTCCACCGTGTTGTGTCTGCGGGAGGCGAAGGCCTGACGCTTGGCGGCCGTCTGGCTCTTGCCCAGAGTGGCATAGGAGTTACTGGAGGCACTGGGATGGGAGTGCATCTTGGTCATGCGGTACCGGTCCAGCACGGGCGTGGACACAAAGACGTCCGTGTGCGAGATGGCCCGCGACAGGGACTGCTCAGGGAAGGCCGTCCGCTCCGGGGACAGCAGCGGGTCCTGGGAGTGCAGGCGCTCCGTGGACAGCAGCTGCTCGTCGGACAGGATGCGGTCGTAGGGCAAGCCGAAGTCGTCGGGCAGGCCCCGCTCCGGGGACAGAACCCTGTCCTGGGACATGGCCCGGATGGGCCGGCGGGGTCGCTCTCGAGGTAAGGGCTTCTGTTGGGACATCTGGATGACGTTGAGGGGGAGGGTGCCACGGGCAGCCAGGTCCGGCAGGTGCCGCCTCCTCATGTAATACTCGTCAGCCTCTTTGTCAGCTGGGGGGAGAGGGGGAGGGAGAAAGAGAGAGAAGTCAGCTGGGGTGACACTGTGACATCGCAGCCAGGACTGAACTAGGACCCCACCGCCCAGACAGGTGGAGGAGAGCTTCTCCACTGAACGTGCAAACCCAGTCCGGGGGGGGCTTGTGAAATGCAGATTCTGATTCAGACCTCCTGGTCCAGGGTGGACCTGGGAGTCTCTCTCACTGGCTCCCAGGCATTGCTGATGCCCCTGGTCCAGGACCACCCTGAGTATCCAGGGGGACATGAAGGTGCCCAGGGAGCTCAGGGCAGAGTTGCTGGCACGGCCAAGCCCCTCAGATCCTGCTCTGGTGCTGTTTCGACCACACTACGGTCCAGAAACAGGACGGCTCTGGATGGAACACTCAAGGAAGCAGTTGGTGGCCTTCTGATGAGGTTCAGAGCCTCTCTCCGAGGAAGCTGGGTTGCTCCAGGGAAGTAAGATGCTCCAACCAGGAGGCACTGGTGAACATGCTTAGCTGGTAACTTAGGAACGTAGTAACGCCTTCTCTGAGTAACAGCCAGTGTCTAAGAAGCCAACACAGGGGCCTCCAGCCCCACATGTGCACAGAATCCAGCCGACACCCACTTCGCCTGTGCCCACAACATGAGCAGGCCAGAACCATCCTCTATGTGCACCTCATTCAATGCTCCACCCTTCTCTTCATCCAGGAGGCCCTCCCACACTCACAGGGACTGCTATACCCTTGAACTTACGCAGGACACACATAAGCCTGCTTTGCCCCAAACTTCAGGAACGAGGCTTCCTAGGGTTTTCCAAATCTCTGCAGAATGTGGGAATGCTGACTGTTCCACTGTTTGCCCAGAGGGTCCTGGATGGGTAGATCCTGCCTCCCTCTTCCCCGCCATTCATCAGATTCCTCGGATCATTAGGGATCCCCGCTTCTAGCCATAGAAATTCACCATTCTACCTTGGAGGTGGCCGATGTAGGTAGACCCAAGGGATGAATTTCATCAGGGTAGGTTACCCCGTAGCATCAAGCAAAGGCTCAGCCCCGCAGCTGGGTGGTCATGAAAATAGCCCCAGGGGGACGTGGAGGCAGAAGGTCCAAGGGTCAGGAGCTAGGAAAGAAGAGCCCTTGTGCTGTGTACCTTCTTGGCATGGTAAAGGGTCTTAATGGGTCTTCAGCCCACCCATGTTCAGAGGCTCCTTAGACTCACATGGCCTCACTCTTTATTCTTGGAACTCCACACCTGTGCCCTCAGGTGTAGTGCAAGGGAGAAAAACACAGGAGGATGTCACAGAGGCTGCAGAGGCAGACCCCCAGCCCAAGAAAACCCACTTACTTAGCCTCTTCAAGGATGAGTACTTGCTAGGGTGGGTCTTCACTGCAGACTCATAGGATGGGGGCAGGTGGGCCAAGTTCTGGAAGGAGCGGGAGAAGGAGAGGTCATAGGGCTCGGTGGCCGATGTCAGGATGTTGTTCATCCGTGGCTTCTCTACAAAAGAAGGGAGGGGTGCATGGCATTAGGGAAGACAGAGGGCAGGTAGGAGGGGAGGATCCAGGTTCTGTCTCTCACTCCTCATCCTGCTTTCCTGGTCCGCTGTGCTAGGACACGGGTGGTGCTGGTGACTCAGTTTCCCTCATGCCCAGTTCCAGTTGTCTACAAGCCTGGGGGCAGGTGCTGTTTTAGCTGTTACTGGCCATGCTGGTGGCTTGCCCTTCCTTGAATGGCAAACTCCTTCTCCCCATGTATGTCTGATGGAAACATAAGCCTGATAGAGCTGGAGGGGGGGCGGTCATAAAATTGTCTACTTTGGAGTGAAAGTTCTGTCCTTTCCCTCACAGCTCTCAGGCTCAGAAAAATCTGAATTTGAAAGAGGTGGAGTGACTGGTCTTGTCCACATATCCATGGAACTGGGTCCAGGACCCCAACTCCACCAGGACTCTATCCCACACGACCCATGATGTCATTCCATCCCTCATTCCATCCCTTACATCACCCCTCTGCCTTGGGCCTCCCCAAGCCCTGCACCCAACAGGCCACTGTGAGCTACAAAGCTATTTCCTCCTCCTCTAGTACCTCCCCTAAGGCCCCCTTGGCTATCTCTGAGCCATTGGAGGAAAGAATGTAGGCAAAATGCGTAGCATATCATTCCCCTTTCCTCCCTCCTTCCCTTGAGACAGAGCCTTGAGATTCCAAACTCTGAAGAGAGAGAAGGGAGTGTGTTCAATGCTAGACCGGAGTTGGGGGGGGGGGATGGGAGGAGGAATGGAAGAGAAGATGAGCAGGCAATGAGGTGGATGACTAATGAAGTGAATGAGCTGAGCTGGGCTCTGTGGTTGAGGGGAGAGAGGAGATGCAGGTGTGGGTGAGGGAGTGGTTGTGAAGGAAGGAAGCAAGCATGCCTTGGTGCTTGACGGACTTGCTGTGCCTCAGCAAGAAGTCAACAGTGGTACCATTCCCCCAAATGAGGTAGGCAGGTGGCTCTCTCATTGTCCCTCTATCATACCTCTATGGTTTGGGACCCCCAAGAAGGGCCAGGCTTTGGCTTCCCCCTGCCTCTTGGCAAAGAGAGTGCCGAACTATGGAAGTCAGGAATTCTGTGAAGTGGGGGGCAAAGAGGAGCATCTGCTAGGCTTGGTCCAAGGGCAGCCTCACTCCAGGGAACTCCCAGCTTCTCTATCCTTCCTGGCTTCACTGGTCCCCCCAGACACTGGGGATGGAGCCAGGGGAGCCCAGCCAATGAGCTGGTGTTCTTGCCAGCTCAGTACATATGTGAGGGGGTGAGGGATGCTCTACATCCCCAAGAGATCAGAACGTGCTGTGCAGAAAGAGCCTCCCTGGTATGGATCGGGATGGATGCCAGCAAGTGGAGTGGGCAGGAAGCTGGGAGCACTGCTATCCAGAACTGGGTGACAGCCACTGGTCCCCTAGCTCTCCTTTCTTCACTTTTGGTGATGCTGGAGAAGAATAAACTTCCCTCTGCCTCTTGGCATCATACTCCCACTGAGGGCATAGCTCAGCTCACCCACTTCCAAATGCAACATTTCTGGATGCTCTTCCCATCAGCCCCGCTTGTTCTCCAACTCATGCTGCTGAGCTAAGGCCAGCTCTTCTTTGTCTTCTGTCTCCACCATGATTACCCCTGCCCCCTTGCTTATGCTGTCTTTCCTATTGCAATGCCTTTCCTTACTCGTCCTCTGTCCAAATTCTCTCTTCACTCAAGACTCCTCACCATGGCAATGTCACATCTTTTCAGCCCACAGTGATATCCGGTCTTCAAGCCCCTATTGCTTTTCCAGGCAATCCCACCCAGTTTCGTTGTCTATGTGATCTCTGATCAGTTGAGTTGAGCTGGTCTTGTTGATCACCAAAGATGGCAATGTCCTTGACAGCAGAAATCTTGCTTTCCAATTTGATGCCTTCATAGTGTTTGGCCCCAAATCAGGATCCAACTAATGCTCTTTGGTTAATCAAGTTGACACAGGCCATCTTCCCCTTTAATAGTCAGTCTGCCAGCTCCTGGGGGCAAGTGTAGCCTCCAAGGAAGAAATGCAGCGAAAGCCCTGCTCCCACCAGGCTGTGAGCTGCTGAAGGGCAAGGACCAGATCTACCTACCCTTGCCCCCTTGTACCAGGTGGAAAAAGAAAAGACCGGGAGAGGAGCTGGGAAGAATGGCTCCTCTTCTGTCCTCAGGAGGCTGTGCTTATGTTGGCTCCTTCTGGAGAAAACCAGCTCCTACTTATCCTTCCAGAATGTTCAGGAGTGAGTGGAGCACTCCTCGCTTGCCTTTTCTGGCTCCTCTTCCTACAGCTGTGTCATCACCATGGGCATCCCCCAGGCTCTCTGCTTCTGCCTTCTGCTTTTCTCTTTCAGCCTTCTCTGCACAGACTGCCCCCACTCCCAGGCCGTCTGTTCCTGCTTCCAAAGCATAACTCACATCTTCGGCTGTAACCTGCCTCCAGACTGCATCTCTGCATTTCTAGCTGCCTGCTGAATCATTTCTCTTGACTATCCTTTGGTTCTCTCCAGCTTCAGATGTCCAGATCCAAATTCACCATCGACAGCTTCATCTCCCCTACACACAGGCTGCTTTCTTGCCTCTCCAGATTGCATTACTAAAAACTCCCATTCTTCTCATTGAGCACAGCTCACCATCTTACTCACAGTTGACTCTTGCCAGCCATATTCAGTGAGTAAGTTTTCTCGATTTCTTCACCATTGTGTTTCATATCTGAACCTTTCTGTCTTTTCCCACTGTCCACATCACCCCTGGGACCTGCTGCTTCTTAACTGATCTCTCTAATGTCTTCTAGTTCTGGTTTTTTCCTAGACCCCACAACCTGAAACAGCTTATTAAACTATTGCTTTCATCACGCATTTCCACCAGGAGCCTCGCCCTAGAGGGGGACATCAAAATAGTCCAGTTCTAGCCTCCTAATTATCATGCTCAACACCTCAGTGCTGATGCAGAGCATAATCTCACAGGAGGGTGGTAAGTCTCTTTGCCAAGAGAGCTGCAGATTTTATCTTTGTTTTGAGTTTCTCTCTCACTAAAATTTAATGATGTTTTCACTCCTTCAGAGCAAAGACAGAGGAATGACTGAGAGTTCATAATTTACATGGCTGTCTTGTGTCCTACCAAGTTTTGAGCGGGTGCCCAAAATAGTTTTTCTCTGCCATTCCAGATGTTACGTTGCGACCTGGCAGGAGGACGTGTTAAAAAGGAAACTTGGTTTTGTAAACCTCTGGGGCTGTCTCCACACTCCCGTGCTCTACAACCTTCATCTTCCTCCCCTGCCCAGGGGCTAATGCTCAGGTCACCCAGTCTGGTTTTGAGTGTTAGCAAATCTTACTTGGTTTGGGGTGGATTGATAGGGTTTATATGCCAAGTCCCATGCCATTAGTAAATGGTACCACAAGCAGCCTTGGGCCAAGGAGAGTGCTCACTCCTTGCTGTGGACATATGGAATTGATGACCGCAAGAAGTGATCTAGATTGCACATGAGAATGGGCTAAGAGAGGGTCTCACTGCTTCCCTTTCGTGGTGGAAGGTCACTCCAGTTTCAGAGACAGGACACGAGGGGGTCAATGGTGTAAGGGTGGGACTGAGCCATTGTGGGCTCCTTACACCTCCTGAGCATCAGTGCGTCATGACCATATGTCTGATGCCTGATGGGCATCAGTAGTCAGGATGGACCCACTCGGAATGGGGATGGAATACGGAGTGCTCACAGCCATCTCTCACCATGTGTAGGGGTCTGGGCAGCACTGCTTAAAATCGGATGGTTATACTGATGATCACCTGGAAATCACAGAAAAGAGATGTTTAAAGAAAAGTTCAGGCATTCCATTGTTTCTCCCGCGCAATAGCACCTCTCTTGACATCTAATGTGCTTCTCTGAGTCCGAGGATGCCCTTCTGAAACCTGATGCCCTGGAAAAGTGAAGGGCAGGAGGCAGTGTGTTAGGCGCAAAGAAACTTCCTCTGCTGTTTGTGTGTCTCTCTCCTTCTGCACCAAGGCTTCCTCTGTCACCGTGGAGACCCACCCACATCTGTGGATCTGGCTGACCGGCAACAGAGGTTTGTTGGGGTGGAGGTCGGTGGAGGAGAAGGAGGGATGGAGACTAAGGGCCATTTGGCAAGTATACACACATGGGGTGGGGAACCGGGCAGGGGAAGGAGATCCTTTTGCGGGGGGAAGGGGTGTTTTAGGGTGTGGTTAGCCAGGAAGAGGATTCCCTAACTTAAGGTGCTTATACTTTTACGGGGCTTTGATTTGTCCTTTATACACAGGTGTCTGGGTGCATCCTCAGGTGGGACAAGCTGACGTGAACTGTCCACTGCTTGGGATCAGGAGTCCTGGGTTCTTGGCTCTGTCCTGCCTCTACATGACACAGCCCAACCTTTCCAAAGCATTTCTTTTTATTATAAATGGCAAAGTCCACATGGATTGAACAAGTCACAAAATTAATAGGGTCCCAGCTGCCAAAGCGCAGAGTTCAAGGCATTCTAAGGGCTTCTGAAACTGAATGCACCTGTGGTTTTTGCCACGAAAGAACACTTCATCCCTGTGTTATTACTTTAATTCAACATTGCATTTTTGCTTCTGATTTCAACTAAAGCAAGGGGGGAAGGAGGCATGAAGTCTTTGCTTTAGTTTTTCTAAACCATGGTTTACAGCCATGCCATCATCTTGGGGCTAGAAGATCTGCTTCTGTTTCCCTTCATCTCGCTATTGAAACCATCTTTTCTACTCCTGGCATCCTAGCCTCTGGCTGCTCACTATTCAGCTTCCTCATGAGACCCCTTCACCTCTTGTATTCCCGACATACTGATGCTTCATGAAGGCTCTACCTTCTGGCACAAACTGACAGTTCTCAAATACACCTCTTGTTGAAGGTCCATCTGGTCTGGTCTGGAAGGTTTGATTCTAAACAGCTTACAGACATGCCCTCGAAATTCCTGCCCTTATTCCAAACCACTGTGTCCCAAAGCGAGCTGAGCCTTCTCATCATTTTATTGTCCCATGGTCAAGCTTCTGTCTGTCCGTGGCACTAATATTCTTTTTTTTTTTAAAGAGTTTATTTATTTATTTGAGAGAGAGAGAATGAGAGACAGAGAGCACGAGAGGGAAGAGGGTCAGAGGGAGAAGCAGACTCCCTGCTGAGCAGGGAGCCCGATGCGGGACTCGATCCCGGGACTCCAGGATCATGACCTGAGCCGAAGGCAGTCGCTTAACCAACTGAGCCACCCAGGCGCCCCCGTGGCACTAATATTCTATGGGCTTGCAAACCCCAGTCATGGTCCACCATTTCCCTTCCTTCATTCTCCCCAAATCCTGTTCCTATAGCCACCTCCAAAATCCAGGCCCATAATATATCTTTTTGTCCAGATTCCTCTTAGCTCTAGACCCTGGCCATTTCTAAGACAAATCATCCTGGGTACTCCTACTAGACAAAATTTCCCCTACTAATGGAATTGTGACATCGTTCCTTTGGTTCAGACCAGACTCTTTAAGTAGTCATGGACATTATCCAAAAGGGATGTGGGTTTGGGCAGCAAGCTAGAATTTCTCACATAATGGTATTCTTCCCTCCCAAGACCGAATATTAAGCTATATCCAGGGAAAAAACCATTTGCCAAAGGTTGAATTAATGCTACATCGGACCTGGATTTAAGCAAGAGGAGAGAATCCAGGAAGGGAGATAAAGGATAATTTTTTTTTTTCCCTTTTTGCTTGTCCTCCAGAGGCAAGGAGAAAACCAGTTTCATTGCTCTCTGTTGTTGTTATTTTTTGGTTTATTTGTTTTTAGGCAATATGGCAGCATTAGAGACAGCTGTAAAAAGTGGAAGAGCCCAGTGGAAGGATGGTGAGTGGCAGTTAGACAGAAATACTCTTAATCTTCCATATTAGAGTCTAGGTGCCACCGAGGAAAGGGACATCAATTCATTTCAGTTAATAATTCCTGGTCACTGGTTGTGCTCTGTGCTTTGTGCTAAACACATTCACCTACATTTTTTTAAAAGATTTTATTTATTTATTTGAGAGAGAGAGAGAATGAGAGAGAGAAAGCACAAGAGGGAAGAGGGTCAGAGGGAGAAGCAGACTCCCCGCCGAGCAGGGAGCCTGATGTGGGACTTGATCCCGGGACTCCAGGGTCATGACCTGAGCCAAAGGCAGTCGCTTAACCAACTGAGCCACCCAGGCGCCCTACATTTTTGAGAATGAATATTAAGACCAATTTTGATTTGTATATATGTTATTGGCCTACCCATTTCCAAACTGTAAAAAAACCTCTTTAAATGTCTTCTTTGAGGTAGTCCTTATCATTTTTCTTTACAGATGCATTTGCAAGCAGGATAAATGTCTTGCATTTAGATATTTTGTTTACAAGTGCAATGCTTTTCCTTTTGTTTGAATCACACTTCGAATGTTTTGCTAACATTTAATTAAGGGAAGAAATTTAAAGCATAAAGGAGAAAATTAAAACTGTCTTAAAATAACCACGATGACACTTTGTTGTATTTCCTTTTCTTTCTCTCCCCCTGGAAATTACTATGTGTATGTTTACTTTCAACACACACACAATATTACAATGAATTACCTTTTGCATTTGTCATTTTGCACAAGTGCGAATCAGCTTTCAGCTCTTAAGGTGGAGAAAAATACAGATAAATACGATGATTTGATCCTCACATTTGTACAAAATAACAAATGTGTGAGGTTATTCATTGCAACATTTTTATAGTTTTTATAAAACTATAATAAACTAAAATTTATAAAAATTTATAAAATTCTGTAGCAAAGAAAAGGAAAAAAGAAGGAAACTAAATGTTCATAGGCATATGTACATAAACACACACAGATAAATACGTATAGGTTCCAGAGATGTGAGTGTCTCAAATACATTACTTTTTTTTTAAAGATTTTATTTATTTATTTGAGAGAGAGAGAATGAGAGACAGAGAGCATGAAAGGGAAGAGGGTCAGAGGGAGAAGCAGACCCCCCGCTGAGCAGGGAGCCCGATGTGGGACTTGATCCCTGGACTCCAGGATCATGACCTAAGCCAAAGGCAGTCGCTTAACCAACAGAGCCACCCAGGAGCCCTCAAATGCACTACTTTTAATCTGTTTCCTTTATACTTAATGGACAATGTATCTTGAATATATTTTCACATTTTGAAATATTCCTTGAAATATTTTATATAGGTTCATAATAGTCCTTTCTATAGAATACTCTATAGTACACATCTACAATGTAAGCATTAAATTATATAATTTAAGCCATTCATCTCTTCCTGGGAATTCCCTTAATTTGCTTTTGGTGTTGTATTATTTCATTACAACATTGGATTCTATTTGCATATATTTATAAATTTTTAAAAATATTTATTTATTTATTTTAGAGAGAGTGAGGCAGTGAGTGGGGGGAGGGGCAGAGACAGAGAATCTCAAGCAGACTCCCCCCTGCTGAGCATAGAGCCCGACACAGAGCTTGATCTCACCACCCTGAGATCATCACCTGAGCCAAAACAAAGAATTTGACACCTAACTGACTGTGCCACCCAGGCACCATTTGCAAATATTTATTTAATTCATATATATTCATAAAGAAAGTTTGTCTTTTTTTGGGCTAAGATATCAAGTTTGTGCATCAAGAAAATGATTTCGTTGAGTCAGGTGAATAGCATTCAAATTTTCTCTGTGCCCTGAAACTATTAATATAGCACATGAGAAACCCGTTCTTTGGAAGTTAGGAGGAATACAATAATAATGTCTAGTGTCTTTGGGGGAGTTTTTATTAGTACCGTATAGGAGGCTGCCTTAGTATTTCATTGACTGCACAAAAAATTTGGGAGATGGATGTTATAATCACCAATTTACAGGTAGGGAAACTGAGGTTTGGAGTGGTCAGTAATTGGCTTAACAGGTGAAGCTGGGGATGCAAATCCAAGCGGACTTGCATGAAAGCCCCCATCCATAACCATTACATGCACTGCTTCTCACACTCGGCAACATTTTATTTACATATTAATCCATTCAGTTTTCCAACTCTAAATTCAACTTGTAGTTTCTATTTTTCCTAAATATATCTACTGGAACTTTGTAACTTTTTTAGCTTAAAACTGTAACATTCCTCAAAAAAAAAAAAAACCCTCTCTATATGAAATTCTGTCTTTTCTTTTTTTCCTTTAAATTTTTTTATTGGTATGTTAATCACCATACATTACATCATTAGTTTTTCATGTAGTGTTCCATGATTGCTTGTTTGTGCATAACACCCAGTGCTCCACGCAGAACGTACCCTCTTTAATACCCATTACCAGGCTAACCCATTCCCTGCCCCCAGAACCCTCAGTTTGTTTTTCAGAGTCCATAGTCTCTCATGGTTTGTCTCCTCCTCCGATTTCCCCACCTTCATTCTTCCCCTCCTGCTATCTTCTTCTTCTTTTTTTTCTCAACATATATTGCATTATTTGTTTCAGAGGTACAGAGCTGTGATTCAACAGTATTGCACAATTCACAGCGCTCACCATAGCACGTACCCTCCCCAATGACTATCACCCAGCCACCCCATCCCTCCTACCCCAGCCCCACTCCAGCACCCTCAGTTTGTTTTCTGAGATTAAGAATTCCTCATATTAGTGAGGTCATATGATACATGTCTTTCTCTGATTGACTTATTTCACTCAGCATAACACCCTCCAGTTCCATCCACATTGTTGCAAATAGCAAGATCTCATTCATTTTGATGGCTGTATAATATTCCATAGATTATATATACCACCTCTTCTTTATCC